GGACCACAAGAGCCAGAAGACAGAAAGGAGAGCTGTGTGAGCTGCTGTCTTGTGGACATGGCATGGCTGTTACACTCATAAACTCCTAACAACTGAGATTAGCTGCACAAGACTTGCACAGGATCAAGCCAGTCAATGTTCCAGCATGGATGAGAGAGAGGTTTATAACTTCCTCAGCTAGAGCCTTTGGCAGTTGACAGCTGCTAATGGAGGAAGAGATATTTTTCTTTGAGGGTGTGGCTGCCCATGTTTCATAGCCCCACACCCAAGTGTATATATGGGTCGTGCTAACTGAACTCAGAAAGAGGCAAAGGAAGCAGCAGCAATATCCACCACTATGAAGTTAGGGGACCTGTTGGAAGTATCCAGGAGCAAATTGGAAGAGGGAAATAAGATGCAATATGATCAAAATTCATTGTATAAATATATACAATTATCAAAGACTAATATACAGCAGCACAGTGAAGTAGCCAGTGGTCCAGATACTCCACAAACTGAGGCAGAAGGAGTCTGGGCTCAAGAATTCCAGGCCAGCCTGGGCATCATAGTTATCCTGGTGACTATGGTGAAGAAGAAGAAACTGAGGAGGAAATAGGAAGAAGAGAAAAGAAAATTGTGTGCCGGGGGCGGGGGGTGCCTGGAGATGTCCGGATTTTACAGAGAAATAGCGCATGAAGTTGTCAAAAGTGAAAAGTGAAACTAGACATGGTGATACCTGCCAGAAATCCCAGCATTTGGGAGCTGTGGGCAGGTGGATTAGTAGTCTGGGGCTAGCCTGTGCTACTTAAGACCCTGTCTCAAAGGTCAGTGGAGAGAGTGGTTAAACCCTTTCAAACCCTTTCATTTCATGCACAGTAGCCATCTGGGGCTCCAGAAGGTCATCTCAGAGCCTGACTCTAGGAATTCCTGAACCAGCTTGAACAAAACTGGGTTCCCTTAGAAGTGCCAGTTGAATAGATACAAGCTTTCTGCAGCAAGCTTAAAGGGGCCGCTCTTCATTATGAAGGCCTTCCCCTGTACAGTACTGAAACGCCAAGGCACAAAGAATCGAACTTGGTTTTTTTTTTTCTGCAAAACCCTGCAAACAGGGTTTAAATTATTATTTTTTTTTATCATGCCATTATCTTTCTCCCACCTAGTACCACCAATATCTGACACCCTACTATAACAGGCCAGGTCTTGCCCCTCAAATGGCTTACTAGCAGGAGTGTCAATCTAAGGTTCTGATGACTGACTTTTGAGTCACACCACCCCCAGGCCAGGAGATAGGCCCGCTTCAGCGTCCACAGGCCCCATGTTCACTTTTTTCATTACTCTGCATTGTCTACTTAATTTTTGCTCATTGTCTTAACAGCTAGCAAGACCAGAAAGCCCTTCCAAGTGAAAAAAACACACACTTGCATCCCAGGTCATCACTCAGAGACAGGACCTCATGGTCCCCTCCTCCCAGGGCCCATCACCCCCAAGGAAAAACAAAGGGCTCCTCAAGGTCCCACCTTCAACTCCCCGGCCCGGCTGCAGCCCCTGCAGCGCTGAGAGTCCCTCTCCCCCACGTCCCCCGGCCTTGTCCCGCCAAGCTTGCCAGCAGCGGCAGTCACCTGCGGCAGCTCGGGGGCGGCAGAAAGCGTTGGCCCAGCACCTTTCCTTCTGCCGTTCCTTTTCAGGTAGAAAACGCGCCTTCTATTTTAATCGAGGTATAAACCCACCCCACCTACAGCTACTCTGAAACCTAGGGAGAAGACGGAGTCCCCCGGGAGGAGCCGAGGAGGCGCGGAGGCCTTGGCTGCGGGGAGGGGGTGGAAGGTGAAGCGGCTGTGGCGCGGACGCCAGGTGCGCCCCGCAGCCCCTCCGCCCCGCCCGGCTCCGCGCCGCAGGGTCCTAGCGCCGCCGCAACTCTCGGCGGGCGGGGGTGAGGAGGCAGGGCGCGGAGGCTCCCGGCACACGCACGGCGCTGCAGAGGTTGCTAATATTGGGACCTGCCGCAGCAGCAGCAGCGGGAGACCGCGGCACTGCTGTCACCCCGGGGGCTCGCTTCTCACTGCAACCGGATGAAAGACTTAAATAACCCTCCTTCCCCACCCCCACTGCGCACAACCGCCCACTCAGCTCCATCCGAACGAGGGTGAGTGGCACCGCCAAGAGAGCCAGGCGCGCCCGTCCCCCCCCCCCCCCCCCGCGGCAGACACCCGGCCGACCTGCTATACATGCACCCGGGGTCCCCAACATGGGCCGGGGCTTCCGCTTCCCTCCTACCAACACCACCCCCTACACACACACACACACACACACACACACACTCACACAGTGCGGAACCAGAGAGTAGAGATGTCACTTCCTTGGCGACACATTCTCCAACCTCTAGGATCGGGGCGGGGTGAGGAGATTGGGGCTTTTTGTTTGATAGTCTGGGTTCTGCGGCGGGTGGTTCCTGCAGTCCTTGTCCGCTGACCCCTGGACGCGCGCGCTCCCCGCCCCTGTATCCTAGCACAGATACTCAGTATCTGATGTATTAAGTGCGCGTAGCGAACGTCCTATCTTAAAGGTGACTACTTCATTTTTAAAAGAAAGAAAGAAGAGCTGGGAGGTGGGAGCCAAGGTTCGTAGAGGGGTCCGGAGTCTAAGGGCTATCCCCTGACCTGGGCCAGCTGTGAGGCACCAAGGGTTGGGACCGGGAAATTCACACAATAAAGGTGGCTTTGGCTGGCCGCAGCGCCCCTGCAGCCCTGCACTCCGAGTGCAGCCGGCCTTCTGCTCCTGCAAGACTAGATCCGGATGCCTTCCCTGGGCTAGTGGTTAACAATAGCACGCCACCCCCTGCACCGCCTACGAGGCCCTTTGTCACCCCTACCCCCACCCCTTCCCCTGCGACTGTGGCCTCGCCAGGCCAGGGGCCCCCCCGACCCACCTCCCAGACCCAGCGGAACCCTACTACTCTCCCAAACCCCGCTGCGCGCTTCGGAAAGAAGGGGGGAGGGACCCTGCGTGAGACCGCAAAGCTCAGTTCCAACCTCCAGTCTGTCCTCGGTCCCCGCCACCAACTCTCTGGCTGCGGTGCGCACCTCCGGCCGTTCCCACACCGCACACCACCACCGCGCTTCCTCGGGCGGCGGCTGTCAGCGCCGCCAGACCCGCACTCACACACAAAGAGAAAGCAAAGGGACTGAACAAGGGCAAAAAAGAAAAGTCGGACACCCTACACGCGGCCAGAAGGGCGTCGGCCCCTGTCCTCCTTCCCCTGAACCCCAGCGGTCCCCGCAGTACCGAGGGGAGCACAGGAGCACTGTGTAAAAGGGAGTTAGAACCCGAGCGCTCTTAGGACCGCGCGGAGCGAGAGCGACGCGGGGCCGGGGGCTGAGCCCGCACCTGCCGGCCCGGAGCACGGGAGGACCGGGCTCCAGCTGCCCCGGGCATCAAGCGGGCTGCCCGGGCATCAAGCGGGCTGCCCCGAGCCCCAGGACACACAACCCCCGCCACCACCAGCCTCCGGCTGCTTGTTTTGCTCCGAAAACCGGGCTCCCTAGCAGCCCTTAAAGTGGCCAGCTAGACAAGCACTCCTGTAAAGTTTAGTCTCCCCCTGCGACAGCCAGCAGCGGCGTTCACTTACGGGGTGCTGGGAAGATAGTTAGGTTTCGAAGGGATAATCGCAGCAATGAGCTACTTTCTGTTTTCAAGCAGCGAGGGGACACAGGTCAGTTGGGGGAATTGACTGGGTTCGCTTTTGAGCCCAGCCTCAGTAGTGAGCTAAGAGGGAAACCCTGGGCCTCAAGAATCTAGACTATCTTCATCCAGGCCTGGACCCTCCTCACCTCCGGGCAACATCCACAGTCCACGAAGCTAAACACGTAGTTTAGATTTCGTTCAACATCTGGCATTAAGGCATGAGGAAAAAAAATCACCACAGGACTTGGTTTTACGACCTAGTCTAAGTGTTGTCAGGTGGGTTCACTCAGGAGTTAACTCCTTCCAACAGTCTGGTTGCCCAAACTGTCGATTTTTTTTCTTTTTTTAAGTAAAGGGGAAACCCGGATTCCACACACCCCGCCCCCTCCCCAACGCCAGGCAGGACTGTGTTCGCTGACTTAGCACTGCACCATCACTGAAGGTGCCCCGCCAGGCACGTGTGTGGAGGCATGAAAGTGGGCAGAGTCCCCACCTGAGTCTGCAGCCTTCGGTGCTGAGTCACAAGTACCCTGCTCGGAACATGAAATCTTCGGAATGTCCTTTAAAATGAGCCTGCAGCTTTTTGCAAGCGCACGCAAACCCTCACACCAGAAAGCCACTCAGGAAACCCACACAAGGCTACACTCTGTGGACATTAAAAAGCAGGGGTTGGGAGTCAATGGATAGAAGCGCCGGCACCCCTAGTGAGATTTCAGGCCCCACTCGGGTCATTTTCCCCAGAAGCTTCTGCCCAGAGATTTCGGATCTAAAACATGACTTCAGTGCTCCCCACAGAACAGCTAGCAATCTTCGCATGGCTTTCAGACCAGCACCAGGGATAAACAACACGTTTAGTTTACAATTCAGGCAGAATGCTTATTAGAGGAAAGGGAAAGGGAGAAAAACTTAATTTGAGCAAGATACCAGCTACCTACAGGAAACTGGATGCAGTTTAAAGTTCTTAGTGATTAAAGCCTTAAACTCTTGGAAATGGGTTCGTTAAAAAGAAACTTCTTAAACCTTATCTTCTCGCATATCTAATAAAAGATTTGGGATTTGGTTATATTCATACCCCCCCCTTTAAAAAAAAGAAGAAGAAGAAGAAGAAGAAAAGAAGGGCCTTCTGAGTGTGGAGTTGCACCAATGCCAGCCGCAGATCTGCAATTCCGGAAGCTTTTTCCCTCCCTGGGCTGGCAAGATAGTCAAAGGTGTGGGGGGCAGGGGGGCTATGAATATGAGAAAATAGCCTTCTAGCATCCAGTCTAACCACCGCCTTCCTGGTAGTTAATAATCTGAACGTGTCACCGTGTGGACACTGAGGGGTTAAAAGGCATACCTACCGAATCGGCTGTGGTCTTTCCTGGTTCCCTGGATAGTACCGTTGGGGAAGATTTCTAAGTGAAATCCAGTCCTGCAGTACAGCTGCCTCCGCCTGAGAATCCCCTTTAAATGATCCAAGTCCGTGACTGCGGGTCCCCGGGGCAGCCCCCCTGCTTCGGACTGACCCAGGTGGTCACTTAGCAACACCGGACTGTCCACCGGCAACACCGGTACGTTCCCGAACGGTACCGCGTCCTGCACACCGAAATAGCTCCCAACTTCACCTAAGGGAGCCATCAGAGGACTCGGCTTTTAAGCACAAGAATAAACAATAATGATGGTATCAACCAGGAGACACTAGGCGAGGTATATCCAACTCCCCTCCCTTGCTGCAGTTGCAGACAGAGAGGGAAAAAGGGTTCTTTTCTTCAATCCATCCAATGCATAAAAAAGTAATCGGCTGTTTCTCTGGCACAGGTTCAAGGTCAAACCACTGATAGTCTAAGAAGCCACCACTTTATACTCACACACTGACATTGATCAACACAGCTATGCATCGCTACATATGGAGCCTCGACTCTCAGCAGGCAGAAAGGTCTTCATCCCATCCGACCGGAATAAGGGGAAAAAATCTGTAGTTTCTCCATTTGCTTAGAGATCAGAATGACCATAGCAACGTAAGTGCCTGGGCGATATTACAGGGATTTTTAAGATGCTCGGGCTACGTCAGAATTTACGGATCCTGACTCCAGAAAGGCATGCGCTGTTTTTACTCTCTAACCGACTCTGCAGACATCAGCATGAATCCTTCAAGGGGAAAAAAAAAAATCTCACGTTGGCGGCGGCGACAAATCTCTCCTCCCAGTCTCTCCTCCAAAAAATAAGGATAATATAACAAAAAGAAGGGAAAAAAAACTTTCGGCGTCCAAGGCTAATATCCAGAACGCTGCAGAGGCTCTGCGGAGGTCCAGCGTCTTGCAATGAGGCGAGCGGCAAGCGGCAGGCGAGGACCGCGTCCCGGAGCTCGCGTGCTGCCCGGGCTGCCGCGAACAGGTGTCGCCGCGCGGGCCGCGCAGCGCCGTGGCCGCGGAGCGCTCCTCCTGCGCAGCCCCCGCCGGCGCGCAGAGTGGCGCAGGCGGCGGCATTGGGCCGGGTTTAAGGTAGCGCGGCGGCCGCCCCGCTCCGCCCGGTCCTAGCGCCCGCCCTGACGCCCGAGCCGCTCTGCCGCAGGCCAGGCACAGGAGGGCAGAGCGCGGGACTTCTCGGGGAGGATGACCTAGGAAACCCGGCTTTAGAGACGCCCGAGACGCGGTGCCAGAGACGGGAAGCAGCAGCCGGGAGACGTTCGGCCACAAGAAATCTAGCTTGCTAGAGACGCAGAGTCAGAGGGGAACTGGGAAAGCAGTTTTCGCGCGGACTCTGTAACCTTGCGTCGCATTATAAAATAGACTGGGAGGGAAGGGTTGGTGTAGGACGCTGGGTTGGACAGGGCAGTTTCTCTTTCATTCTTAAGCCGGACTCACAGACGCGCAAACTATATTGCAGGTAAGAGACAGTTGGATGTGAGTCAGATTCTTCTCTCTCTCTCTCTCTCTCTCTCTCTCTCTCTCTCTCTCTCTCTCACACACACACACACACACACACACACACACACTGGTGGGCCCACACTCGGATTTGTTCAGGGAGTTCTGGCTCGCATCTTTGAGTTGTTCGGGTCCTGCCTCCGCCCCCCAGGTTCCCGTGGCTAGAAGCAAAGGGCACCCAGGGCTCCTGAAAACAGCCCCTGTCCTTGCGTTCGACTCACGCCCCAGATCTGAGTGCGCTTCTTCGGGAAGAAGGTTCCAATGAGTTCTCTCTCGTCCCCAAGCCAAGCTACTCAGGACGGTGTTTGCCACCCTGAGCTCTACTTTGCCTGGGAGAAGCGAAAGGCATGAATTCCAGGGTTGTTCCATGACCCGAAGCTCTCTTCAAAGCCGAGAGCCGGACGGCAGCCGCCGGCTGGGCACGGGCGCTGCTGGCTGCTCAGGGCTTGCTCACTGCTGCGAATGACTTGGAAGCCGGAGCTCTGGTCCCGGGCCAGGGCTTTTGCTCGCGGCCAGCGGCCTTCGAGCCCAGCCCCATGCAGGGACAAAGAAACGCACTGCCCGGGGCAGCCAGGGGCAGGGCCCGCCGGTGGCGCTATCCGCGCCCTGCCACCCACCAGCGCCCAGTCCGCTGAGCGCTGCGTCCCCAGCACAAGCACTGTCCCTGGAGCCAGGCCCGAAGGCCTCGTTTCTCTCGCCTTGCTCCTCTTTGTTCACATTGTCTTAGACTCTCAGGTCAAGATGGTGAAAGTTGCTAAGACTTGAGCGGAGCTCCCGACGGCGTACGAGAGGGAAGCAAAGTCCAAAGACTGGAGCCCTGCGGTAAAGAAGCAAATAAAAGGCTTTTTTTCTAGGGGAGAAGTCAGCTTATGGCGGTGAAGCCCTGGGACTGGCCCAACTATGACCGGAGGGTTTTGCCCCAAAGACGGAGGCGGCAATGAATTTGCAGATTTCCCTAGTGTTGGAGGTGCCCATCCCTGGAGCGACCTTCCCCTGCCCCCCGTGTTAGAAAGCGTGCTCCCGCAGGGCCCCAAGGGAAAAGAGTTGGGCCGGCCAGGTGACCCTCCCCTCTGTCCACTCCCACACCTCTTTGCCGCAGTCCGGGGTCATCGGGAGTCCGGGCACTGGCGAGTCTGGCTTACAAGTTTCCACTGCAGAAGAATTCCCTGCTGTGTGGTATTTACAGCAGTCTCATCTGCGGTGTTAGAGAGCAGGCTGTAACGCTAACTGCCTAGTGGCAGATACAAGAAGCTGGGAGGAAGTGACACTTCTCATAAACCATTAGAGTAGCTCGCATTAATTACCCCAAGTCGCCAGGGGCCTCCGGATTAAACAGGGTGCTGCTAGACCTTTAGGTACAAAATGCCAGGTCGATTTAAAAAAAAAAAATGGTAGAAGAAATCGAGAGAATGAAATGCAGACAGGAAGGCGCTTTGTAAAGGAATGGAGAACAGGGCGCAGACATTTCCTCCGAACACTGGACTGAGGTCGTTTTTCCACCAGCTGTCTCCAACCACGTTTTTTCGGTCTGAATTTAGCCTCTTAGCCTATGAGCAAAGACCATTTCCGCCTCTGGATCCTGAAGCATCCTGTCCCTTTAAAAGTGATGCAGCAGTAGGAGAGAGTAAAGTAGCTGACACAGCACTTTTGTGGGTAGATACTGCAGGCAGCCCTTCGCATCTCATTCCCACTGCAGTTAGTTTAGTTTAGCCCCTTTCATCTGCATCCCTAACTCTAACTGCAAGCTGCTTTCCTGACTCCCTGGCTCTTTGCTTGCCATCAGGTTTCTCTGCTGCTTACATTTTGGTCCTTTCCCTGCACAGTGACAGAAACAATGACCTTGCTGTTTCCCTGACCTTATTACGTTTTTTCCAGGCAGTTACCAGACTCCCATGGCGAACCTCTTCAAGGTTGCTTCAGAGCTATACCATAACTACAGATTCTCTACATCCAACTTCTAGGATGTTTTTACCAGTACTCTTCAATGATTTACAACAAGATGGTGGCTTTGCTTTCTAGACACACATGGTACAACTAACTAACTGGCTTCATTACAGCTGCCTGGGTGACTGACCTTAAGGGGAAAAAAATGCACATGAAGCAGGCATAAACAATAGACCTCAAGCCAGCTGCCCTGGCTCTATCCTTCCTCCTGGTATAGCCCTCCGTGCATTTCAGCACATAGGGCATTCAGTAAATCCTAGTGGATCCCAGTCCCCAAATTCTCTAATGCTGTCTCTCCTCCAATGCCTTAATCCTCTAGTTTCTCATTTTCCCCTCTTATCTGTGTTTTCTATCAGGATGACATCTGTCTTTTCTGGAATGGCTTTAGTGCATGGGCCCAGACTGGAATAAAGGATGCGAAGTCAAGGAGCCTATGACAAGGAATGACTCTCCCAAGCATCAACAGATCTGGAACATGGCATCCAACATTTTACCTACACTCACTGTGACATACAATGCCCCCCTCTTTGTGGGCCCCTTTGAGTTGCAGCACACCCTGGCTTAGATACATATATGTAAACATGACCTATAAATCATAAGTTCTCCACACATTTGAAGCAGCCATTAGTTCTCTTCACCTGCCCTTCTTTTGTTCATTAATTGGTGTGTCCTTTGTTTGTATACACACACACACACACACACACACACACACACACACACACACCAATCAGCACAGAATCCTTCCATTCCCTTCCAGTAACAATGACTGTGTAACCAGGTCACAACCCTCCATTTTCTATGTTCTCCATTCTCCCATCCCCACCTACAACCCTTCATGCCACTAAAGGCACAGGGTGAAAGGGAAATGCTTTGGGTTCCCAGACTGACCTCATGGAAAAGTTTCAATCTGGTAGGCATGGAACCATTGCAGCAGCCCTGGCTTGTATCCAGAGCTGCAGACACTCCAAGTAGCTTTGTGCTTTAGCCATTTTACTCAAAACTGACTTCATGGTGTGAATGCTATTTTGTTGCAGTTTTCCAATGAGGAGGTTGTGGTTTATGAAGACTAAGTAACACACCTATAACCCCATTGCTAACAAATGGTGAAGTCAAGTTCATACACCTCAGAGCTGCACAGCACAACAATACCATGTATTATAAGAAACATACTCTTGCAGAGCACATGGTATATACCTATAATCCAGCACTCAGGAAGCTGAGGCTAGGACATTGAAAGTTCAAAGCCACGCTGTGCTACCTCAAAAACAACCAAAAATAAACCTAGCAAGTGTGTTTTTACCAAATAAATATACATGAGTAAATAATGAGTATATGTACTTAACTACCTGTGCTTCCGAGTACATAACACAGTTAGATACATTATATAGAACCCAAGGAGGAATAGAGAGAGAGAGAGAGAGAGAGAGAGAGAGAGAGAGAGAGAGAGAGAGATAGATCACCAGAAACAGAACTTTTTAAAAAAAGTACAAGAAGCATATGAAGAAATGTTTTTAAATCTCCCTATAGACACAAAAACACTTGAACAGATTAAAAGACATAGATAATATTTCTAAATAGAAAAAAATCTCAATTTTGAAAATATATAATCCTTCCTAGAGTAATCTAAAAGCTCAGCATGATTACAGTAGAAGTACTATCAAATTGTTTTATAGGTCACATTGATGCTAAAGAAAATTCACATGACAAATGTTTGGCAAGAAGAAATTGAGAGGCTAACTGATTAAATCTATAATTACCCTACAATAATTTCAAATATCTTTAAATTCCAGTAAATACAACAGCATTATAATATAAATAACCAGATAGGGCAACAATAGTCTATACATCTTTATTTTTTTAAAAAAAATCTGAGTACATAGAATTTAATATAAGATAATTAATGAGGAAAGTAAACTAGTGGG